TCTACCCAAAAGCTGCTCATTTGTAGGAACCGCTGATATATGACCACTATAGCATGTAGCTGCCATATAAACTGAACGATAAAATTAAAAACATACAAGGGTATGAACTTTTTTATTTGATAACGTATTTTCACGAAATGTGACAACGATTATTGTTCAAGGTAATGCCTCAATTTCCGAACATATTGTTCAGATAGGATCATTATAGCATCTAGCTGCCATACAAACTGACCGATCAGAATCAAGAAACTTGAACTTATTAAGGGTATTCTAGCTTCGGAGCAGTCGAAGTTAACGTTTTTTCTTGTTTTCTTTAAAGAAGGACAAAGCAGTAGATACATTCATGCATCGGTCTTCGAAAAAATACTAAATTTTTTTCGGACATTTTCCACAAAACTCAAAAGCTTCGCACTTAGAGCTAAAAAATTGAAACAATCAACAAGACAAAGAATCTTAGTATATTTTAACAATATAACCTACACATCTTCAACCTAATATGAGTGTTATTCTATGATATATATGGCTTGGCTGATTACATTTTATGAAAGAATGTAACAGTATTTCAACCCTATCATGCTTAAGCATGATCTCGGATATTTAAATCATATGAGTAACATAATTTTTACAAATGAAGACTTATTCATGTACGTTTTGTCGGAACAAATATCATCTCCACTGGTAATATAAAAATTAGATCACCTATGGTAAATACACTGTTCGTGGTCGGTAGTAAGTGATCACAACATGAATAATAATTGCGAATCTAAAAACTCTGCATTGCAAAGTAAACAAGGTGATATTATAATGATCAATACATTCATCTAGCGGTAAATCCATTAGATATTATATAAAATAATTATCAGTCTTACGTTTTTATCAATTTATCACACTGTAAGTATAACGCTTTGTTGGTATATTCGTGAGTTCAATTCGTTTAAGTAGTTGCTTACGGTTCAGTGACTTTCTTTAGCCATAAACTTAGCTCACACTGTTGGTAAAAGCATTACTCTTGAAGTGTTAAACCGAAAGTATATGTTTCCCTCTTAATTAACCACTAACTTAAAGATAATCATAAAATCTATTATAAAAGCGAATGTGTTTAAAACTGTTGGAAAATATTTTAAAAGAGTTAAGAAAGCGTTTTATGTTTTTTACACTTAGCAGCGCACTTTTTTAATTTACTGTGAAGAATAATGGTAAGTAAACATATTGTTAGCTAGAGTTTTTAGCATGCCTAAATACATACCTATGTGCCAGTGTAGTTACGTAAAAAAATAAAAAAAATAATAACAGATTGCGCTTGGTGCAATCTTCAAAACTTTAGAGATATGGAAAATTTCGAATTTGCTTCACTGCAATACTTCAATTGCTTTGATGCATGTAAATTCTTATTAGAAAATAATACTTTTCTCATGTATGTACCTATGTACATAGTTATAACAGTGGTCGGTTATTAAAAAAATATTAATAAATCTATCTAAGTAGCTTTAGCGGCGGGCCCCATTGGATTCGATTTCTCGGTCGTTCTTTCTTTCCATACGTATTTGACTCGGTACCAAAATGATGTTCACTATGTTTCACAGTAAAACTATATTAATCGTTTCTTTGCATAACCTAACGCAATGGACCTTTCCGATGACTTAGCGCATTGGCTTAATTCCCGCTTGGCTACAAACATGAAAGTTAAGTAGACAGAAGAGTTGACACGTATTAAACTTGCGACAAACTCTTTATATATTCGATGGATATGAATATATCCCCTCAGTTTTTGAAATATCGATCTGAAATTTTGCCAACGTCCGTTTCTCTCCAAGAAATTGCTCATTTGCCGGAATCGCCGATGTCGGGCCACTATAGCCTAAAGCTGCAATACAAACTAAACGATCAAAATCAAGTCAACCGAAGTTAACGTTTTTTCTTGTTTTATTATTCACCGATGTAGATACATATTCCCGTTGATGTATATTTCCTACTGACCTAATTACGTCTACGAAAGCTAGGGATAGCTTCGCCACAGAACAATACTTCGAAGCGAACACATTCTCAATGTGGTTTCCGGATCGCTTGGCGCTCATTTCGTGGTTATTTCTATGCACCACAGTACATACTCACACACATTTACATACATGCATATGTATGAAGCTACCTGCCCCGAGCTTGTGAGAACTTTGCTGACCAGCGCTGATTATTATTTGATTGCCGGAAGTATGCGCAACGTCTCCAACTAGACAAAAGTGGCGACTTATGTACTATGCGTAGATGTATATTTACATATTTTAAACACACTTTTTGGTTATTTCTACACTGCTTTCTTTGGATTTCTTGGACAAGGTTTGTTTACAGTCTCTTTAATTAAAGTTGTTCATCTTCGGTGTGTAGCGTTCTTCTCAGATTTGAGATTAATGTAAATAAATTTGCCCCTCATTTTCATTAGCGAAATCATTGCAATTAATCACGATCGTTTGTTCTTTTTATCTAGTCCTATTACATATGTATGTATGTAGTATATGTACATATGTACATATATGAATGTGTGTTATGTGTTGGTACTTCTTCCGTTTGGCTTTTATGTGTTTATTGCTTTGTGTCGTAACTATTTCAATAAGCCTTGCAATATCATTGCTATCATGAGGACATCCCACGCACTCTGCATGCCCCTCATCCTAAACAGATGCAAATACGAATCATAAAAAACAACATCAACCACGCTGATAAGCAAAGTATTGTGTATCCTCAAATGACTTTTTATCAATGTCGACACAATATCAGCATGTAAATAGAAATACAATAACAAATTAATTTTCCCTTTAGATTGTTTTAACTTTAACTGCATTCATACACCTTGGTCCCCGTATCTTCTATGTTGCATTACCGCAATCATTTATCTATCAATCGATTTTTTGTTATGCTTTGGTGTTTTTGTTTCTGCTTCGGCTCCAGTAATTGTAATTAAAGGTATCATTGAGTTTTGACACATAATTCAATAGGAATGCTCGACATATGTATATATACCGTATTCTGTTTTAACACGGTTTGAAAATAAAACAATTTTTAATTTTTTACACTATTTATTTCATTTAGCACGATTCAAAATTTTTTGGGCTTAAATGTTATTTGTCGGATTTAATTTACGCAAGACATGACTTGTTTAATAGCATCCACATTTAAAATTTAAAGGAATACTCTTTTTGTCAATAGAACTAAGTTTACTGGTCAAAGTAATTGTAAATAGCACAAATTTGGGGAAATGATTAATGTCTTTTTTAAAACGGTTTTTCGGGAACCAAGCTACCGTATAAAAACAGAATAAGCTATGTATGTATAGGTATATGTATTTGGTTAAAATAAAGAGCACTTCTACAAACCTCATTAGTATTTTTGCCTAGTGTATGCCCTAGCAAGGCAAATGTTCTACGTTTGATTGTTAGCCCTAAAGGTAGTTCGTTTTTCCAGTAGATCTGGAAATAAGATGATTCGAGGCCACCAGATTCTTAAGATTTTTCGTAAACATGAGTTTGCAAAAGACTGTAGTTTCCGTATCAACGTTTTTGTTAAGGGAAATATATCGTTCCAAGGCACGCCGTGTTTGCCCATTAACGCCTTGTTCAGTACTTCGTTCTTCGTTCAAACCTGTTTTACGCCAGTTTTCGGATAAAGTGGGTCTGATTAGAGATGCTGCTAGGTCTGATAGCTGTTTGCTATATAAGATTCAAAGCCAACGTAGTGAGTTTTATTGCTGTTTATGAGCTTTTCTGGAAAACCTCTTCACTATAACGAGTTCCAGATATGAGTCCGTTCGATACTATCAAAAGCCGTGCTGAGGCCTACAAAGCAAGAGTGACAGTATGATCGGAACGCGATCTGTTTGTGCTATGGGCATAAATTCGCTTCAGAAGAAGTTTGGTGAGAACTTTTGATAGGATGCTGATTAATATGATCCCTCTATAGTTTTTACATACGGTAGAGCTCAGGGAGCAATCATATTACCACCTGACGCTATTCCGGGCTTGACTTGTTTAATAGCATCTACTATTTCTTCCACGTTGGACGGAGAAGATGATATTTTAAAGCATGTGTATTTTCATATTACGGAACTTCATTGATAGTGGATGACAAAACAAGAAAAGAAGGATAGGGGGATAGCTTTCGTTCTATTTTTGGTCATAAGATGGCATACTACAAAGGCACTAGTCTCGAGACTTGGGTTTTCACGTAAATGTCGGCGGTGCCACGCCCATCATCAAATTTTGACAGCGGCGCCTATAGAGCCTTCTCCTGGGTGAAAAATTGTATGTCTTTGATGAGTTTTCTTATAGATTTATCGCACTTTTAGTATTTTTTAACAAAGCCGTTGTCGGTAGGGGTGCTAAAAAGATTAGTCTTGAGTGAATTTGGTTATTATAGGTATAGTGGCCACGCCTTCTTTTTACAATTTTTTTACACTACAGATACCGCTCCCTAATGCGATTCCTTATATCAAATAACAGCTTTATATCTGAGTTTGGAGCTTGGTCATGACAATTTATTGGTTTTCGATTAATGGCATTTTGTGGACGTGGCAATGGTCCGATGGCGCCAAGGAACATATGTACTAAGTTTCATCAAGATGTCTCAATACATCTAACTCAATGAGTGCTTGGTGATACAAACAACCGTTAGGTGAAGAAGGCTATTATACTCTGTTGCAACATGTTGCAAGAGTATAAAAAAGAGAGCAAATTTTTTTTGGGAAGTTTGCGCGTATTTGACGACGAATAGTTTTTACAACAGAATTGGGTTATATACTTGTAGCTCAAATGAAATCAAACAATCCCGGGTTAAACAATTTTATGAATTACCTACTGTTATCTGCAAGAGATTGTTCTAAAGGAGAAGAATTTTCCTTTACGAACGCTGGAACCCTTGGCACTTGTATAGCTGGTTTGGAGTTTCCGTTATGTGCAATAAAGTAGTAATTTTTTGAAATAAACTATATGTACAAAAGCTACTTGCTTACTTACCTGCCTAATGAAATTGAATTGCAGCATTGCTAATCGTTGATTCATAGGTTCTTTATTACAAAATGTACAGATTTCTCGTTATAAGTTCGTGTCACACGCGGACAAATTTCTTTGTTTTTTAAAGCTGGAGAACAAAAACAAAGCAATTAATATTTAATTATTATTTTACAGCAAAAATGTGAAAATCCAACTGTTAATTATTAATAACGAGGAGTATGTCTGTATATTTGTATATATATACTCCACTAGTTTCGTCGTTTAAAATATTAATCTTCTTACATAAACTTCAGGGTGTTTTGTTAAACGGAAAATGGAGAAAAGTATATATTTCTGAAAAAATGTTTGTATTTACTTGATTATTTATTTATTTTTATACCCTGTACAGCGTATATTAAGTTTGACACAATGTTTGTAACAGCCAGAAGGAAACGTCGAAGACCCTATAAAATTTATATAAATGATCAGCATGTTGAGCTGAGTTGATTTAGCCATGCCCGTTTGTATATATGTATATACGCGAATTAGTCCCTCAGTTTTTGAGATATCGATCTGAAATTATTCACACGTCCCTTTTCCCCCAAGAATCTACTCATTTGTCGGAGTCGTCAATATTAGACAACTATAGTATTTAGTTGTCATACAAACTGACCGATCAAACTCAAGTCTTTGTATGGAAAACTTTTTTATTTGATAAAGTGTCTTGACGAAATTTGGCATAGATTATTATCCAAGGCATTATTAAAATTTCCGAACAAATTGTTGATATCGAACCACATACATATACTTGTACATACTTCCATATAAACTGACTGTTCAAAATCAAGTTAAAGATCTTTTTATACCCTTTAATACTATAGGAAATACATCTATCAAGGGAATTAAAGTCTTTTAATTACTAATATACTATGTAAAAGTATGCGCCTATGCATGTGAGTATATATTTACTATATAATATGAATATTAAATCCTTGCAGTTTTGTTAACGAAGTAAAACAAATGCTTAATTAGTACATGTGGTTTTGTGTTGCGCAATTCAGGCAAAGCATCTGATTTGTTTTAAATATTATTAGCTGGTAGTATTTATAATTTGTATGTTTTCAACACACATGTATGTATTTACTGCAACTTTCTTGCATTTTTTCTTCTATAATCTATCACTGATAATGTCAAACACGACATTCGTTGCACTTCACTAATCCACTGTCATTTCATATAATTTCTCTCAAATTTCATCTCTGCTGAATATTCACCTGCTGCTGTCTTATTTTCGAGGTCCTAAAACAAGATTTTTCAGAAATAATTTGGCTCTTTTGGCCAGCGACACAGTTGAATTAATGCACAATCCACTTTATAATACAGCAGGCGTAAATTTTTCGGTTTTGATTTTAAATGTAAATTATTGTAATGGTGCGTTTATGCGAGTCCGTTGATGAGTGCGTGAAATCAGAAAATTCATAACTGAGTGGCCAACGACCAGCGCGCGAACTTTAATTACATATCTACATATTTCAAACTCCACTAAACCTAAACAACAATGTGGCATTACGAATAACAACAATTGCAACAAAAACATTTTAGAGACCTTTAATGTCCGAAATGAAATGGTTTTGTTATTGTTTATGTTGTTTTTGCTACTGTTATAAAAAGTTAAGTTTTATGATTTTGTTGTTGTAATATTTAAAAAAAAATTTCTTTGTTTTGGTGAGCAGAAAAACTCTGTTGCTATTTGTTGGTGATTTAGAAATGGAGTTGAAAAAGGGAAGAGTTAGTAAATGTTTCGTTTTGTTGTTGTGGCAGTCACTTTTGTGGATCATTATTGCATATTTCGAAACATACACATACATATCTATATTTCGTGGAGTGTTACGTTCAATTTTGGATATACATATATAACTACTCATAAGGAAATCGACGTGACCTCCACAAGGACACGGTTTGCGACTACCAAAAATAAATGTATAAAATGTCGGCTTCCTTAATTATTTGCAATGTGTGTTAATATATATACCATATATTTAAGTATATACCTTACAATTTTCTTTTACAAAACCTAAAAGTTATTATTAATTCTATTAGGAAGATCAAATATTTCCTATTTTGTAAAATATGTCGCAATTACCGATGTTGAATTTTACTTAGTAAGTACAAATCCATGGCTTACAATTTACACATACACATTCACATCTTTGAATCTATAGGCAAACATGCGGGCATGCGATGCCGTTCAACGCATTTGCCATTGCCCTAGCAGTTGACTAAGCATTCCCCCTTTTGTTCTTTAATTTTATTCTACATACTTATTTTTGGTTATAATCACAGTATTGTGAACTCTTATTATGAATACATACATATGTATATACAAATATGCGAATTCACATAATAGAGAACATTTTAAACTCCCCATAACCGCCATAATTTCTCTCGCCTGTTTTGTTGGTATACCTGTGCACATGCGTTGTTTCAAAGCTTAAAAAGAGGTCTTTGGTTAAAGGCGCTCATGCGTAGATCCGCCAGTACAGAGCGTGGTTGAACCGTGTATATACATATGTACATATTTATGTATATAAGTATATAGTGTGACAACTCTTAGTAGTCCAAGTGTTGCTATGTATATGCGTATCGAAGTGTATATACTGTTATATACAAAATTAAATATGGTTCTATATAATGTATGTTTGCAATACTGTGCACTTGTACGACATACATATGTACATACATAAGTATGTATTGTGGAACGAACACAATGAACGTATTAATTATTTTGTGAAATTTATGGAATTTTGAATATTTATTCTTGTTTATATTTCTATAAATTTAAATTTGAAATTAAGTAATGACTAAGTTAAAAACAACAATTCATGGATTATATAACATTACATATTTGCAAGCACACGCAATTAATTGCTTACTTCAGCCTGTTCCAACCGCTCATTTTTTGTTGCCTCACCGCATTCGTATCGTTGATAATCAATGATTGTCACGTTATTTTCCTTAAGGACTTCGTTTACTGTGCGATCGGGGTCGAGCAAGTACTCTTGGTGTATGAGACATGTTTCATCATCTTTATTGGCCACTGGTTTATCTTTTCCTTCTTCTCCAATCTTCACGGGGTTAAGACCAACAATATGCTGGCAAAGATTTTTTTGAAGTTCATCATCTACTCCAGAACCACGGAAGGCGACAATTGTTCCATATTTGCCGATTTGCGTAGTGTTCTCCGCTGCAGCCACATTTGTGGATGTCGGGTGAGCATACCCAGCTAATTGTAAATCATTGCTGGTCTTAAAGCATATCGCACGTTTAATTGAAGCATTTTCTCCTACAGTACCAATAAGTAATGCCAGGTGGTCTCCTAGTGTTTTGCCATCTGCCATCCGGAGGTTCTTCAGCGCTTCAGCTTCGAATCCTAGCTGTACGTTTAATTATAAAAAAATAATCGTTTTCATAAAATTAGTATCGATATTAATTAGTATGTAGTGCTTCATTTTGAGAATAACAATATAAAAAACTTTTGGGGTGGCTTTTGGTATTTAAAACATTTTTTATATACTTTTTACAAATACAAAAGATTCCATACAAGGACTGGATTTTGATATTTCAGTTTGTATGACAGCAGTATGCTATTGACTCTATACAAGGACATTATTTTGAGCGTTCAGTTCGTATGGCAGCTATATGCTATAGTGGTCCGATATAGGCGGAACCGACAAATGAGCAGTTTCATGAAGAGAAACAAGAGAACAATATCTTTAAAATTGAGGGACTAGTTTGCGTATATACTGACAGGCATACGGACAAACGGTCGTGGCTACAGTGAAACTTATCACGGAGGTTTTAGTTTCTTAATTAGACTTATTAAAATTATAACTAAAAATTACAGAAAATTTTGCTGCAAAACAAGGTAAATATTAAAACCCTCTATCGATGCTATATTTTGAAATTACAGAAATATTAAAACACAATGCAAAATTCTTTAAGGATATGGCCTAAATAAATAATCTTACTTCAAGCCAGCACCAATTAGGTTTCTAGGAAACCCCTTTCTCTTATCAAAAACTTAGGCAAAATTCCGATTTCTTCGCCGCCGCGATCTGATGGTATTGACGGATAACGGCTTTCCATATTAAGAATATATATATATATATATATATATATATATACACCCGAGAAATCGATATACAATTATATTTCGAGATAAAATATATAAGTCTGTGGCAGCTATATTGTATATATATTCTTTATCTGCAGAACATACTTCGTCCTCTCTCAAAACATACCCATTTTAACCCCGAATTCACTGTCAGATTGTGGCGCTAAAGACTCGGAATCGTGCCAAAACTTTCACTACGAAATCTTTAAGCTACTTCTTCCATACCTTCCACAAATCTCCATCGAAATCAGTAGTTTCGGTGTACTTAGCACAAATGCGTGACACGTGATCGACAAAATTCTTGAAATGCTCATTGCGTGCAACAAAATCGGTTTCACAGTTGACTTCCACCATAGCACCGATGTTGCCATGAATAAGTACACCTACTAAACCTTGAGCAGTTGTCCTTTCAGCAAGTTTTGTGGCCTTTGACCAACCCAGACTTTGAGCTTGTTCGTGCAACCATTTTTCGGCCTGTAAATAAAAAAAAAATTGTAAATAAAATACATATAAAACAGTGAATTTAATACTTACCGCATTGATGTCATTATTATGTTTTTCCAATGCTTTCTTGCAATTGGCGAATGTGTAGCCAGTCTTTTTGCGCAGTGAGGCCAAAGCACTCTTCTCAACACCGGCTAACGCTATCCGTGTGGTGTGGAATGCGCGGGCGAATTGTTGCAGCAACATTATTATTTCACTTAAATAATTTAGCTTCCCTCTGAGGATATTAACAATTAACTGCACTGCTTCAAATTTTTTGCCTGCCTACCGGAACGACACGTGCAAGAGAGCTGCCAAGGAAACCAAAAATTTCATTGTTTCATGTTTATTCATAGAAAACAAATGCAAACACAATAAGCAACTAACAGTGGAAGTGAGTGCATATTTTGAGTTAAGTTGACAAAATATAATTTGAAATAGGCTACATATAAACATCAAGCAATTTAGTTAGAAATAAATTATTCTTAATCGAAGAATCACTAGTAAATCCGTTAAGATGTTTATGGTGGTGTTAGCGGAAATCGCGTAAGCACGAAAGTCAGAACTATTGAATAAAGTGAATTCAGCAACCGATAAGGTTTCTGGTTATTTTACATTTATTACTTTTTGTAAAATTGTATAAAATAGCCGGTAATTACACTTTAGCTAGTTTTCCAGTTTCTTTGATTGCACAATGAAATGAGTGCGATTATGGCTGTCAAATTGACATTTGTTTTTGTTTTAGAACATCGCATTTTATCAGCTGTTTAATTAATGTAAGTGAGAATGATTGTTTAACAGAAAATCCACATACAGATGTCGCGATCTGTCGCCTAGCGGAAGTGTGCAATTTTTTAGTGAAATTTATATTTCCTAAATTTGGCGGCATTGTTAAAAATCTTAAAGTGGTGAAGTGTATACATTGTGTGGGGTGAATTATGTACCTGCTTTGATATCTACATTCACAAAGCTTTTGAAATAGTTTGTGTACCGATCACGACGTCTATTTGTAAAAAATAATTTTCTGAAATTTATTGAATTAAACAGAAAAAATTTTTTTTTTAATAACAGCTACTACAACATGTCTCAACCGTCTTCTTCCACCGGAGCCGTTAAACGGCCCTGTTCCAATTTGAAATTAGTATATAATCGCCCTAAACCGGATGTCCTAAACAGCATTTTAAAATCTCGTGCTAATCCGCGCTATCGATCACGACGCCTTTGGTACGAGCTGAATATGCCCGAGTGTACATCAGCAATATTCGATGGCAGAATGATTTCCACTTCTCTGCCAGACAGTCTATTGTGCCACACACGGGAAATGCGCTCAAAGAATAAGCGGAAAGTGAGGAAGAAAGAACGTAAGTAAAAGTATTAATTATGGAAATGGCGTGTAACTCTGATTCTTATCCGTTCCACAGGAGTTCGCACCTACATGGAGATGCGCTTGGAACGTGAGAACTTTCGCAAGAAATTAGTGGAATTAATTGCCTGCGAAGATGAAGACGTCGAGATGTCACAAAGCGAAGGTGATGACACGTTTCCGAATAAAGAAGAAAAACAAATGTTGCGTTACTACTATTACATAAAGCATGGCATTGACACAATTCACGTGGCCCCGATGGGCAAACGTCTGTTGAATAGGTCAGTGCTCCTGTGGGGTTAATAGATAATTACACCGTATCTTAAAAATAAATATTAATTTTTTCATTTAAGAATTACAATGCTCATAAGGCCGGAGCTAAATAAATGGCGTACCGAACTCAATGAAACGGTAAGTGAAATTAAAGCGGACTACACTTTCGCTATGAAAAAAGCTGTTATTGATTTCGTTTTGAACAATACATTGCCGAGTTTACGTAAAGGCCAAGAGCTAGCCCTGACCCCAGAAAGAAAGGAAATAAAAATAATGATGAATCGTTGGAGATATCGGTAAGTTTCGAACTCGAATTATTTCTCCTTTTTAGTCACTAGTGCCATAATTCAGTTATTACTTAAACGTTGATCTCGTATTCGAAGTACTCGGTCGTCTTTTTAGTACTTCTTTGAAAATGGGGAATACGTAGGTTGCCTTTTATATTTCGGGACTAGAGAACAAAACCAAATATTAAGCATCGAAAATCGCTTTATGGTTTTTCAAAATATTCTTCATTAAGATCTATACACTTTGGCATGGGTTAGACCCATTTGTCCCTCTGATTGAGTTGTCTCCAAAACATGCATTCTGACCGTATTAACCGCAACTTTAGATTTTGAAAAATGTTGAAGTGATTCGGTGCCAAGTCAGGACTATACAGTGGATGGCTCATCAAATCGATGTTTTGAGTGCTCAAAAATGCATTTGTTTCAGTCGATGTATGAGAGGTCGCATCTGTCTTCGGCGGTTGGTTTTTCTATTTCTTGTAATGCAACTGGCAAAAAAATGGCTGTGTATCATTTAAAAATTACTGTACTGCGTTGTTCTAGTGGTATGGTTACGACATATCCAGTTTTTCCAAAAAAACAGGCAACCATTTGCTTGAAAGTGGTTCGTGCGAAAACTTTTGTTGGATTCGATTTATCTCACCCATAAATTCGACTGCTGTTAACTTTCGGGTTCAGGATTTCATAAACGTGTTTCCGCTATCGTTTTTTTTTTATCCAACCTTCCTTTCTCTCAACCAACCGACAAGAGGTTTTTTTTTGAGCGATTGATAAATTGTGTGGTATCCAAAGTGAACAAATTTTTTTTATAGGGAAATGTTTATACACTATTGAATGTATGCTGGTCCCACTAATGTCCTATCTCACGTAAGGTTACATGACGATATTGCAATATTAGTTTGCGTACAGCATCAATACGATCCGAAACAAAAACTGCTATTGGCCAAAATTCACGAAATTCATCTTGGAGTAAGCCACGACCTCGGTTGAAGTCATCATATCATCGATGATGGAACATCGCCAAAAATTTAATTAAAATTGAGTTACTGTAAACAACAATAGCGCAACACATTCTGAGTACGTATAAGATCAAAAATATCAAACTTTACGATAAAGTTGTGAGTTGCCAGATTGCAACACTAGTATTGCCAAATCGCGAAATATGAAACACAACTTACATATTATTAATGTAAAGTTTTTGAATTCAACGCATTCTAACTCTGGAATATTATTTCCTTGGATGGTAAGATGCCCTATCTGCTCTTCTAAGTTGTTAAGGGAAAGAGTCCTTTGTTATTATCACTTCTGGTTTCTAACTGCAGTTGACACGGGTTTTTCACTGCAAATTGAAAGAGGGCATGTGATGGTAACAAAATATAAAATCAACTAATCTTTTGCTAGAATTGTGATTAATAGTGAAATAAATGATCAGTGCTTACTTTTTTTGCGCTTCTTCTCAATTCGTAAAAATAGCAAACTTTGGATTTAAACAAACTTCAACAAAACTAAAATTTCTGTTGTTTTGCTATATACTTGTAGACTTAATTCTTCTAAGAAGAAGTTATGTTCCTTAGAAACTATATCGTTAACTTTTCCTCGGTGTAAGTTTCAATAAATCCTTATTTATTATTTGGGATTTTTGTAAAAGTTAGTAAGCTATTGGCCCTAGCTTTTAGAATATATGAAAAAATAAAAGTGGCTTCGGTCGATAGTCCAAAAGTATCTGTGTTCTCTCCCCCTCTCAATCATTGCTCATATATTGCCCCCCAGGGGGAAGTTTGAATAATTCAACCTCTTACAATTTAATAACGTTTTTTCCGGTAATTATTAGTACAACTTGCGTTACGTTATTATCTACTGTTCCGAAAAGGTCTAAAAGAAAGAAGACAATTTAATCGTTATCTACGTTATATACTTTAGCTTATATCCAGTAAAAATAAAGAGCAGACCGAATTTCGAGAATTGTTGAAAACACCTATTAATTTCTTTTTATACTCTCGCAACCTGTTGCTACAGAGTATAATAGTTTTGTTCACCTAACGGTTGTTTGTATCACCTAAAACTAATCGAGTTAGATATAGGGTTATATATATATAAATTATCAGGATGAAGAGACGAGTTGAAATCCGGGTGACTGTCTGTCCGTCCGTCCGTCCGTCCGTCCGTGCAAGCGACAACTTGAGTAACAACTGAGATATCGTGACAAAACTTGGTCATATCTTGCTTAGAACCCCACAGTGCCTGTATGATATGCTATCTCAAGTCTAAAATTGGTCATAATCGAATAATAATTGTTCAAGCCCCCATCTACCGAATTATTTACGGAAATTATCGTTCAATATGTGAGATGCTATATACATATCATATACCAAATATAAAGATTTCCGAACATCTGGTTGACTTAATATCAGTCAAATTGAGAGGATGAATTTCATAGGATGTCTTTCGTCGCTCATGTAAAATAAAATAAATCTGTCCTCCGAAGGCATAGATCAGTTTTGGGCATCAGTGATACTAGATGGATCTTTACGTAGTCCATGAGGAGTACTTATTCTGCAGAATGCCTGCGCTTGACGTGAACTAAAGCCACCTCTTCCTGTGTCTCATATCTCGTCTCACACCGACGTTTGCGGTGATATCTTCGCCCGTTTCATCTCTTTCTTGGCTTCTATATTAAGTTATTAAATTCGGGGATCTCTACGCCTAGCGTTTTATACCTATCGCCAGGTATTTCATTAACAATGGCTGTTGTATTCCCAATTCTCCTCCTTCTGAGGTTGCATATAAAGCAGCCCACCATAAGAAGATGAATAGATGAATAGGGAAATACACTAGCCTTCGCTGGATGACGGTTGCCTGCAACATCCTGCCCAGTCGCGCAAAGGTTACAGCTAAGCGGAATTTTTGCCGATTTTTCTGGTAAGTTTTATACCGACAGGTTGTTTGGTGCTTGATTTATCTGTTATAAAGTAAAAGAATAAGTGTTTAAAATGGTAGCATGTGGAACGTAGTCCGATTTCGCTCATTTTCAAATCCGTTGGGCAAGTTTATTGTCAGGCTTAGGTGTTACAAACAACAGTTAGGTTGACAAAACTATTATACTTGGTGTAGCATGTTGGCAGTGTATGAAAATAAAACAAAAAATTATTTAGTGTTTGAAATAAGTCGTAAAATGTGCACGAGTTTTAATTTCCGTCACGATTTCAAACCTTTAACATATTAACTGATCGCTGTCTAATGAATGACTTCATATCTCAAGAATATGTGAGTGGGGTCGCGAAAACTTATTTAAAGCAATCGTCTGTAAATCGCTTGTCTAGTCAAAACTCCAAGTCGTGAAGTTGAAATCATAATCGAAAAGCAAATTATTTAAAATATAAAAATGGTGAAATTGAAAGCCGTCATTAAAATAGCTTTGACGTTTGGTAAATATTGAACAAATTTATACTAGCTAAAATGTAACAAATTTTCAATTTTAGTTGTTGCCGTTATGTTCTTTAGCGCAAGTGCTTATGCCATAAATCGGAAGGCATTGCTCACGGATGGAAAATGAAACCGAAGTGATTATAAATTTCCAATATCCCATGATAGGCAACCACTGCAATAAACTAAGGTTATGAAGAACACACATATACATAAATATATACTATATACATGACACACATGCTTACACATACCGACATGCTTTTTGCTTATTTAGATTTACTTGATTTGACACTGAGTGTTTGAATTGTATAAAAATTTGTAATTTAATTTGTAATAATACTTGAGCGGGTATTGAAAAGATCACATTAAAGTATATAGATAAAAATATATACATATTATATTTACATTCTATGCCAAATACGCTTTTCAATGTAGAGATTAGGGAACTTCTTCTTGATTTGAAGAATCCCCTTTAGCGTCCTATTAGTTTCTTCAACAAAAGTCACCGCGAATTGCCCTGAAGTAAAACCTTGTCCTTCCCAATTAAAAATTGTTTACTACTCACTAACCGAATAACTCCTAGCTAAGGTCGTAAGAACTAATGAATCTAAAAAATTTTACGTGCTTTCAACGTAAGACATCTTTTAATAGAGTTAAGAAATTAAAAATGTTCACCTTCAGTTGCACTAATAGAAATAGGGCAGAAGAATATTTTGAATAAGATAAAGAATTTAAAGACAGATCTTCCATCTTCATTCACTACTTGAAAAAATGGAAGAATATTTCATAAAATTTTTTTATGGATAGTCTAAAATATATGACTTATTCGAATAAATCCAACGAGACCGAAATGATCTAGCTTGTTCTCTAAAGTAACTTGATCGAGTTCTCGAAATTTTCAGCAAAAATCGGAGTAAAATACAATATTTATTGCTTGAACTGAATCACTACATGTATTCTTGTCCGTTTTAACTCTAGCCGGCACCTTACGCACAATCGACTACGTTTTTTCACTATTTGAGGAAAAACGAAGATATGTAGATATCGCACATTAAATACAAAAGAGTTACAACTCGAAAACTTTCAAAATATTTTTTTTTAAATATAACAATTCGTAATACACTTATCTATCTACCTAAGAAATTTCATTGTTATCACTATCTTACTTAACTGAAAAATAACCGTTAGGTTAGTGTGTAATATAGAGCAATATCTACCTATTTAGAGGTAAAATAATTTTAACGAGGATGAATTGAACAAATATTTATTTGCAAATGTTTTTCGCATCGCACAGGAATTGCTGTCACTGCTACAAAATGTAGCAGTTATACAAAATGTAGAAGCAATATAGCTATCAAGACATGAGCCGCTTTTTTTTATTAGATATTTGTGTTAATAAATTGGGCAAAATAAAATTTATTTTTTATAGAAAAAATATTGGAAATTGATTAATCTCGGCACTCTCAACTATATTTTCGAACTAAATTCGGCACAATTGAAAATGATCAAATATCACCCGTGGCTTGATGTTATCTTTCACACTTCGATATATGGTATTCTTACTTCACTGTCGTCACCAGTCTCACTTTCTGCGTTTACTTTAATTTTGCTTCTGTGCACATACTTACTCATATCTTTGTCGATTCATATCAGACTCGTCAAAAAATTATTGACTGTTTGTACTTGTTATTCTCTCCAATTGCGTTCGGCACTTACTATACCCTGAACAGGGTATATTAAATTTGCACGAAGTTTGTAACACCCAAAAGGAAATGTCTAAGACCTTACAAAGTATATACATAATTGATCAGATTTGCGAGCTAGTTAATAGTGTCTTAACGAAATTTGGCATAGAATATTATTCAATGGATATCAATGCACAGAAGCTTTAATACCCCAAGTGTATTTCTTTGGCTTTTTTCGTCGAAAAATGCATCTCGCTTCTTTTGCGAACTCTTATATAATATTACACCCCTGATTGCGTATTTCCTTTATATCTAAAGCAGTTATTGGAAAGGCAGTGTTAGTTGCCTTATGCATACTTATATTTACAGTCAGATTATATATTGTGATATAATTTTGTAATATAATTTGTTATCATTTGCTTCAAAAAATTCATTTAAATGATAAATTCAATTCAATGATATTTCTATGTTCTCGCAGATATGACGATAATCGTTGTCGCATTATGAAGACACTATTTTGCATTCACCGTAGTGTTGCCAGCATTCTTGATTTATGGAGCACTAAATATAAAGATATGTTTTTTGTAGACATTAAAGAGCTGGCACAGGCTAAGACACCTTATGAACTGTACGAGTTCACCGTAAGTAATAATAAATTCTTCCAAATAACACTTATAATATTTATACGAAATTTTACACATAGTATTTGTGTGGACGTCAAATCGACACCGCCAAGGGGTTGCTCGAGAACGAATGGTATGGTGAGATACATCAAATTTTATTGCGGGCCAGTAGACGTGGGCTTCTGCCTAATGTAAGGCGTATGAAATTGTTGCAGCGCTTTTACAACTGTGTGGCAGCATTAATGACCCAACAACTGGAAGATATCTGCATACGCAGTTTGACGTCCTACGCTGATTTTATTTGCGATTATGGAGTAAGTTAATCATTAATTTGGAAATGTCCCCCCCCCCAGTATATATAAACTGGGCCTACATTTTCATTTTCAACGCTATATTATGTTAGACTTAGAATGCCAATAAAAGCGCCGTACATCAGCTGTTAAAATTATTCTATAATTCAGCGATCTGCTGGCGCAATTTTAGAGTCAATATATGTATATCTGGATTTATGGAATATGAATGTTATGAACCTATTTGTGAATGGCATATAACCTCCCATTAAAATCTATCAGTTGCTGCATTAAAACAAGCAAAATTGTGATTTATTTTGAGGGTTTGTCCTGCGACAAAACTCCATATACCCCCACTACTATACTATAGATTTTCTATTTCTCTTTTCTCCTTTCCTTGAACAGAAAAGTAATCCCGGGCTTAAAGTTAGCCTTGTACTTGAGGATGAAGATACCATTGCCTTCAATCCGAACTTCTCCAAAGTGCAGCACGAGCTTTTGCGCATTATCGAGTCCATTGTAATGTCTGTTGATCAGATGCCCCGAATTGAAAACAAACTGTACACAGAGCTGAAAATCTCGGATCAATACCACTTGAAACCGACAATACCAGAGTCGATTATAGCTAATGCTCGTAATCGCATATGTGTCATGTTGGAAGATCAACGAATCGGTCCTGAATTGCGCCTGCAAGATTTTGACCAATATATAGACTTGATGAATGGTGTTGATGCAGAGCGAATATCAAAGTTCATCGCATCTGAGCCCACATTTGAGCAGTATTGTGAAATGGTATTACAGTATCGTCGTAGAGAGGAGCAGATAATTCAAGATATTTGGGGTGAATTACGTATGGGGCTCTATGAATTCCATCGTGAGAAATTTATAACTAACCTAGAACAGTTAGCTCGCTACATGCAACAGGAATTGCTAGAGAAAATGGTTGCCGATCAGCAGTCACAAATTTCTAAATTGGGAAAGGAGTATGAGGGTATAGCTAAGAAGGCGCTGACGGTGCCACACACGACGGCAGAGTTAATGGCGCTCAAAGAATTTGTGATCAATGCGGAGGAAACGCTAATACCGGAAATGGAACAACGGTTGAAAGTGGTAAGTATGAACAAAATGGCTAACTAAAATTAAAAAATAATATAAGCCTAAACATAAACCCAATTTTTTTAGAATATGAACCACATTTTATGGCTGATGGATAATATAATCTACTCGCCATTGGATATAAAAAATAACAGCAACACATTTCAATGGTATTTGAAAATGCCTTCCGTTTTCGAAGAGCACCGCTTGATCATTGCTGATAAAACAATTGAGTATCAGGAGCGACTTAAAAAGCGCATTGAAGCGTTTCGACGTGAGCTACAGACTTATTATGAACAGGTGCAAGACTACGAGAATTGGGGTGATATTAAACATTTGGCACGTTATAAGGTAAGAAGAGTTGTTTAACGAATATCGAATCAAATAATGTAAGGACTTATGTATATTCTTAATATTTCAGCGTAGGGCAACAGTTTTGGATAGTCGCTTAGTTGCAGCTATGGATACAATCGACCGCATAAATGAAGAGGAAACAGCTTATGGTTGGGATCTCACCCAGTATCCCATACGTAAGAAAACACACGATCAGCTCAAACCATTCAAAACTTTGTTCGACACTGGGCAGGAATTTATGGAAAAGCATGACGCATGGATGCATTCACAAGTTGGCACCTACGATCCAGATGAAATCGAAACTGATCTGGCAAATATATATCGCGTGGTTCAGAAATTGGAAAAGCAGCTGAGCGATAAACCAGCAACAGCACAATTGATTAAAGATGTGAGTGAACATAAGTAGTAATTCATAAAAACTTTTACAGGCATTAAAAATCCATTGGTTCTATTTTTCATTCTCGCTGCGAGTGACATGGTCCCTTCGCCTTTCCGTGTCGTCCGCTCGCCTACAAAAAAAACGTTGTGGAAGACAAAAGAGTCTAAGTTTGAATCGGCTCTTTTTTGTGAAATATGTTTTCTTTTTGTCACCAAACGAAGCCAAGTGAGCTATGACGTGAGCACCCCTGGTTTAGACCGTACATACCTATTACGATAGTACTTAAAATTTCCTTACTTTTCTGAATTAGATTTTGACTATCATATATAAAACTGATTTTTACATTATTAGAGTTCACGTAGTTTGCTCAATGAGGTTTTAAGATTGTGTGCCTGTTTTACTTATCAATAGGTTAGAGAACAAATTGAGGAGCTACGCACACATATGCCGATAATAAGCACTCTCGGCAACCCCGGCATGAAAGCGCGTCACTGGGAGCAAGTATCAGAGATTATTGGTTTCCCTATCAAAGTATCGCCTGAATTGACTTTGGAAAAGATCATTGAGTACGGCTTGGAAGAATATGTGCCCAAATTTGAAGCGATCTCAGAGAGTGCAACTAAAGAGAACAATTTGGAGCGTGCAATGGCGAAAATGGTAGCCGAGTGGCAAGATATGGCATTCACCATTTCGCCGTACAGGTTTGAAAAGCAATTTGCCGACTATGAGTTGAATTATAAAATAAGTTTTTATTACCATTTGTTACCAGGGATTCCGGCACATTCAAACTTTCAGCAGTGGACGATATACAGATCCTATTGGATGATCAGATAATCAAGACACAGACTATGAAGAGTTCGCCCTACATTAAACCATTTGAAGAGGACATATTGTGAGTACATACTGCGGCGGGAAAGTTGTCATCCAAAAGTTTTATGAAATTTGAAATATTTTCAGGAAATGGGAAGCGAAACTAATGCTGCTGCAAGACA